GAGAGAGAGAGAGAGAGAGNAGAGAGAGAGAGAGAGAGAGAGAGAGAGAGAGAGAGAGAGAGAGTTATGACATTGAGACTTGGTGACATTGAGATTCAGACTTGACATGTGAGCAGTGACATTGTGGGAGACTGTTTGGGGATTGATACCGATGACATTCTGAGTCGACGCCATCTCTCCGTTGTCCCCGCCTTCGTCTCTTCTCCCTCTTCTTCATCTGTGCATGACGAAGCCTGGCGCTTTCTTCCCTATGTTACAGCGCCAGGGTTCCCTTCACATGGTGTGATGATGATGATGATGGGTTGCAGTCTGTGTCACGACATTGATTGGCTCTTATTATTGGTATTTCAGTCTTCCACTGTGCTATTCTCCCTACATCTGTGAGAGGTCGGTTCTTGGTTCTGGTCTGTACTACCTGAGTATGCGACAATAGAGTCTATACCTGTTACGGACTCAGCCAGGGCTGGATCCCTGGTCCGCGGGTTACCACCAGCCAGGCTGCTATTTTATTTTTGAATCGCTGATCTCCGGTTCCTGACTGTTGGCGCCCTCTGCAGTTGGCACCCGTTCTCAAATCCTCCCTCTGGCACTTTCGGATTTTGATACTTGTCGCCATCCGACATTCTGGCGCCTAGGCTCAGACCTTCAATGTTCAGTTTAGTCCCGAGGCAAATTGCACTTCTGCCCTCCGCACTCAACTTCAGTCCGGTACTTAAGACCGGACTCAAGCTGAGTTCGGGGACTCAGTTTTCAGCCTCAGTGCTTGTGCTTCATTGTGACTTGCTACGACATTGTGTTCAGAATCGAAGATTGCGACTTTGCGAGTTTGCGACTTCGCGACTTGCCTCTCCGTGTCTGCGTCCGTCGTGTCGAGTCAAGTCCGTGTCGAGTTGAGTGAGTGTGTGTGTGTGCGCTCACTCTCTCCCTCTCCCTCCCCCGGCCTCGCTACTCTGCCTCCACCCCGCCACAATACCAGAATATAACACAATTGCTTCCTCCCTGTTGTTTAGCTGTGTTCATTGTCCTTTTTTCATTGTTGTGTGTGTGTTCTGTACCTACTCATCAGGAGGCTGAACCCTCAACAGTCTGTGGAATCCCTATATTGATGTTTTGAGTCCTGATTCTCTTTAACCCTTGTTGTAAGTGGAGTGCCCGCACTTGCATTACAAGCAACAACGACGCACATATGCTGGAGGGCACGGGGGAGGTTGGTGGGCAGACAAATGACCAGGGGTGCAGCGGGGCATGGATGCAGCACGGCCGGGAAAAGATACATGAGAGCAACAAGCAACAAGGAAGCAAGGCAAGAAGGGCAGTAAGGCAACAAGGCAGTAAGGTAACAAGGCAGCCAAACAACAAGGCAAGCAGCAAGTCAGGACTATGAGCAGAATGCATTGGGCCAGCACAGCAGTGAGGCAACAAGGGAGCAAGTCAACAAGCAGCATCAACAAGGAAGGCAAAGGACACATGAGCAGCATACAACAACAAAACAGCCAGCCAGAGGCAGTGAGGTAAAACAGCAGTGAAGTACTAGGCAAGCAGTGTGGTGGCACTATGAGCATCAGGCCGCAACGCAGCAAGGCAGCAAGCCACAAGACAGCACCGACATGACAGCTCACTCAGAAACCAAGGACAAAAACATAACATCACCTACTCGCACCACAAGTAGAACTCAACAGACTGTGGGTTCATGCCACCTTCTGAGCCAGGGAGTCACTCTGATGATTATCTATCACCACTGGAAAACACAGAGACACAGGCATCTCAAACACAGCGGCCCCCTTGATACTGTTGCGGGCACTCTGAATATTGGGCGCCTCTTAAAGGTACTAAACATACTTGTGGCACATTACCTGCAAGCCAGCCGCGCACAGGCGCCGCACTGCGCATTGCGCACGTGGCACGCGCACCTGGTACGCCGCAAGGGCGAAAGTCGGGGTCAACGAGGAAAGAAAAGGGAAGTCGGGGGAGGGCTCAATAGAAGTTCCCTGCCCTAGGTAAAATAAGAGATGGGCCGGGCAATTTCTTTTTGTGGCCACGCTCTGGCCCAGAAACCATGTGTGTGTGTTGTGTTTTCTCGTTTTCCTGTGTGTGTGCTATATCCTGTGTATCTGAGTAATTCCAGCAGTCTGATACAGTCATGATGAGGAAGTGTCCTGCTCTGTGGAGAGGTCGGTTTGCTCTCTTTTCTTCTAGAAATAGAAAACAACAAAACGGACAGCGGATTTCCCTTGGTAATTTGCTATTAAGAAAAAGGAACAAGAACGTTTGTGTGTCCAACACGACAATGTACTCAAATGCTCAAAGCCATTTTGCAGAAAAATACACCCTGCATATTGCTGTCCTTTCAAGTCACCTGCCATGATGAGGTGAGTACTGGAGCGAGTCCCTTACCTGCCGCCCGAATCCTTGGTGAGGGCAGGTTGTTTTTAGTTACCTATATATATGTGACGATATATATATATATATATATATAGGGCCTTACTTCACACTCACGAGCTGCGCAAAACGAATCTCCGCTAGAACATGGAAAGATAAACTGCCATTAGTTTTGTCTCTACGTGTCTGGCACTGGCATCTGTCAGAGTTACAACGGGCCTTGAAATGTTGAAATACAGGCCCGAGTTTGGTGCCCGTTGTAGGGCCTCGCGCCACTACTCACCAAATGTGCAAGTTAAGTTGAGAATGAATCTTCGCTAGAACATGGGAAGATACACCGCCATATTTTGGCTTTTGTGCATGTGGTGAGTAGTGGAGCGATGCCGAACCCACACATCCCCATTATAGGGCCTTACTCCACTACTCGCCACATGCACAAAAGACATAAAATATGTGGTGTATCTCCCCATGTTCTAGCAGCAGATTCATTCTCATTGCACATGTCGTGAGTAAGCGAGGCCCACATCTTCACTCACATAAGGACTTTTTCGCTTATTTATGGACGTGATTGCAGTCACATTATCACATACATCCAGGTCCAGCTGTTTCAAACTACCTCCATCGAATGGGCCTGTCCACAAAACGGCCGGTCACTTTAATGATGATATCTGAAGGCCGACGCCCTTCCCGGCAAGAGACACAAAGAAAAACAAAACAAAATGCACTGCCTCCAGAATCCAGCACACACACACACACACACACACACACACACACACACACACACATCACGAACAGAGTGGCTCCCCAAAGAGTCCTGCAGGCACTGCAAACAAGGTAACACCTACTGTGTGCTCACTCAAACACACAGGAAGTACGTGGAAAAACATTGAAGGAAGGAGAAACGAGAAGAGAAAGGCAGACATACATAAAACTGTGTGCGTGTGTTTTGTGGTATATGGTACACCAGGTCCTGGTCATATCCAAGCTAACGCTTTCTGCTGCCACTCTACTTCTCTGAAGCTACCTCATACATCCATGGCTTACCATGAACAGCTTTCCAGAGTCCCGCATAGGATGGAGGGCATTGGGAAGGCGGGAGGGTGGACAAACACAAGCAGATCAAATGGGCAAACCAAAAAAAAACAAGTCCCAAACAATAGGCTGGAGGGCACGGGGAAGGCAGGAGGGCAGACGACATACAAGCACACCACACAGGTGAAGCAAGGGAAAATACAACTTCGCAAAAAATGCAAAGACGGAAAAAAACAAAAGCTGACGACAGATTGTTTCATCGGAGTTGCACCAACTCATCAGGAGGCTGAACCCTCAACGATCTGTTGAATCTCCGTATTGACGGCTTAAGTCATGAACCCTTTGACGCTTGTTGATAGCACTGTCCCGAAACGGAACACAGCAGTGGAAGCAACCCAGCGAAGCACCAGGCAATGCTGCAGAGGCAACACGGCTGCTCAACGGCAAAGACTAGTGCACAAAACCGACATGGCAAGCGGCTGCACAGTGCGGCAACCACGCAGTGACAAGGTAACACCAACAAGGCAACCACACTGCAAGGGACGACAGGGCGAGCGGACGAACAGCACAGCAACCATGCAATGAAGCACAAGGCAACACCAACAAGACAACCGAACTACAAGGTGCGCAAGCGAAGGACACAGAAGGCACGGCCTGCGGATGGGCTGCAAGGAGCGGAGCAGTGAAGTGCAAGGCAACACCAACAGCACGGCCACACCACATAGTGAACACAGGAGCGTCCCAAGAACGACCTGCGAAGCAAGCGGGACGGGCAGCAAGGCAGCAGCAGAGCGTAGACGAGGCAGTCCACACATCCAACACGGAGCAAAGTGGCACATGACCAACTCACATCACGGGTGAACCCCGCAGACTGTTGGTTCCCATCCCCCACTGAGCCAGGAAGTCACTCCGACGAACATCCATCATCACCTGTAGGGCAGACAGACATCCCGAACTGAGCAGCCCCCCTAAGAGTGTTGTCGGCACTCCGAACAAGGAGTGACCGACTGTTTGGCGCTGCTCAAGGGTGCTCACTCGGCACAAAAAACACAGAAAAGATTTGGAAGAAAGCATACAAAGAGAAACAGACAAACATTCATAAAAATGATTGTGTGTGTGTGTGTGTGTGTGTGTGTGTGTGTGTGTGTGTGTGTGTGTGTG